ACAGGGCTAACAACACTCCAAACCAGGCTTGACAGGGCAGATCTCATTGAAACTTTTAAAATACTGAACAAGACGATGTTGATCCTGATATTTTCTTCAGAAGGCCAGATGTAACACAAACAATGAGCACCGGTTTCAAGCTCAACACGCCACAATGTAAGACAGAGAACAGAAGACGCCTTTTCACCCACAGGGTTATTAACCCATGAAACCGCCTACCTGCCGAAGCCGTAACTGTTTAAACTGGTGCTGAGTGTTAAAATATACTTGGAAAAGTTCGTCATGGCAAATGGGGGACCTTCGACAAACCGCCGGTTTCCTGTCCTCGTTGAGGCTACTTGAGTTAGGGGCCCCTCATGTAAACTTCGTAAATATATATTTTACTACTTATTCCCATATCCGGCCTATTCACTTCATTTAGTTCATGGTCAAATACTATCTAGATACTAGATATATTTGCCATTTTTTACCAAAAGTTTTACCATTTTTACATGGTAAAACTCCGAGATTACTTTGTGTTAATTATGGGTTGTATGTTAGCGCGTCGAACATGAACTTCTCAATGGCCTTTTACTACTAGGTGAGGCAAATCATCCAATAGGTGCTGGGCTGGTCAACGTGTGTCGTAACAAGCTAGCAAATTTGGGGCGAGATGCAGCTTCCTCCCTCCACCACCCCCGTTTATGTGTGAAGTTAGCGACTGATTCTCATATCGGGAGTAGCTTTTAATTTCTTGTCTTAAGATTCATTTAACTAGTCAAATGTACTTTTAAAACGTTAAATCTGATGTCCTTCACTTAGATTAATAGTGAGAATCAACAGTTACATATAATAGCTTCATAGTCACAGAAAAGTGGGAAGGTTTCGGCCGAATTGCGGCCTCAGACTTAATAGCAACAATCTGGTTATGTGCATTTTAGTTCAAGTTATTATTTATGAATAGAGTCCTCTTAGCCTAAATGTCAGTAATTTGTGGTTAGTCTTATAAGCTTATCAGAGCAGGAATCGTCATAGCCATATATTATTAGAGATATTTATTAAGCAGTTCATTGTCTTAAAAGTGGAAAATATTTCTCACAAGTACACCTACACAAAATCAATAATATTCGTCACACACAAAAATCACAATAGCGTGATGCATCAAATGAACCCTTCACCCACCCAAATCCACCCTTGTGGATTTGTTCATTTGATGCATCACGTTATTGTGATTTCTGTGTGTAATGAAGTAAGGGCGAAGAGGTAGAACAGCCTATTGACATAGCTCGAGTGCATGGGGAAGTTGTGTAAAACCCTGGTTTGTGTCTCGGAGAGGTTGCAGGATCCAAGTAAGTTCAGTAGAACTTCTGGTCTTAACTCTTTTGACCATGTCGTAGCTCAGTCGATTAAGGCAGCGTCTGGGATGCTCTCGGACGTAGGTTCGAATCCTCATCACGGCCCTTTTGCATTTGTTCAATTATATTCGTCCTTCGACTGGGTATAGTAAAAATTCCATATAATAACAAAATGCATCTGGAATATTCAAACACTCTTCCTGCAGCAGCTAAGATCTAAAACTGGAAAAGAGAGTTTAAAATTAGGTCCCCACATAACTTACACATAACATAACTTGTCACCACATAACTTGTTACCACATACCTTGTCACCACATAACGTGTTACCACTTACCATATTACCACATAACTTGTCACCATATAACTAGCCACCACATATATAGACGAGGAGTCACAATAACGTGGTTGAAATATGTTGACCAATATGTAGCCACTATATAACTTGTCACCACATAACTTGTCACCACATAACTTGTCACCACATAACCTGTCACCACATAACCTGTCACCACATAACCTGTCACCACATAACTTGTCACCACAACTTGTCACCACATAACTTGTCACCACATACCCATATGTTATATGATAGCTTTCACCATATAACTTTCCTGTCAGTCATTACTTAACTTTCGAGGATGCATATTCAGGCATTTGTTCGACAGCATCATGGGGTGTTTTGTACAACAAGTGCAAATGTCAAAGAACAAAAACTGTAAAATAAAAAATGCCATAAAACAAAACCTTGGCAAGATAGGCAACATCCCGAAATTTATTAATCTTTATTCAGTCTTTATTTTGATTTTAAAAATATAGAAATTCTGTTCCTTCAGTAAACACTCTAATCTGATCAACATTTTTATATATAACAATAATAATAATATTAATAATAATAATAATGATAAAATCCATAGGATCCACGATGAGGATTCGAACCCATGCGGTGGGAAACCATTGAAATGAAGTTACAAGAATCATACAAAATCCAGGAGAGTCAAAGAGAACAAAAGCCCATCAGTGAAATAGACAGAAATCCGAACAAGATCAAAAACTACATCTAGTATCGGGCCTCTGCGAAAGAGAGATGGAACTTTCACAGATGACAACAAAGAAACGAGCTAAATTCTGTGGAATCAGTACATCTCGAGCGAGCTTCAGTAAACACACTAAAAATTGATAACCCAAATGATTTTTTTTTTATGCATGTGATACCAACATTAAATTATGTATCAGATGTCTCCCTACCCACTCTGGTTTTTGAAGGAGCCTTAGACAGTATGCCTGTGCACAAGGCCCTGATCCTTGGAACAATATTCATCAAGAACTGTAAAAAAACACTATCGCAGGCCCATCACATTATTTGAAGACAGAGCCTAGTTACTGGCGTTATCCCTGACATACTAAATATAGAAGAGATAGAACCACTCCATAAAGGAGGAAATGAGGCAGAGGCAAAAAATTAAAGGCGATAACACTAATATGACACATCAATAAAATCTTTCAACAAGTGCTAAGAAGTAAGATCACAAAATACATGGAATCTCAGCATCTCAATAACCCTGAACAACATGGTTTCAGAAGAAGGCGCTCTTGACTATCACAGTTGCTGGACCACTATGACATGGCCTTAGATGCCATGGAAGACAAGCAAAACGCTGATCTAATTTGCACAGATTTCGCAAGTCATCGACAAATATGACCGAGGTGTTATTGCCCACAAAATGCGTTCAAAAGGAATTACCGGAAAAATAGACAAATGAAACTACAATTTCCTGACAAACAGAAATCTACCCGGTCCTCCAGGGTACTGTGTTTACTCCAGAACTTTTTCTCATCCTCATTTCGGACATAGACAAGGACACAAACTATAGTACCGTATCATCTTTTGCAGATGACACTAGGATATTTATGAGCGTAGACAACATAGAGGACTCAGCAAACCTCCAGTCAGATGTAAACAAAGTCTTTCAATGGGCTACAGAAAATAATATGGTATTTAATGAAGATAAGTTCCAGCTTCTCCGTTATGGAAAAAAATAATATAAAAACGGAAACCACGTACAAAATGCAGTCAAATCATAACATAGAACGAAAAAGAAATGTAAAGGATTTGAATGTACTCATGTTGCAAGACCTTAACTTTAAAGAACACAATAAAGTATCCCTTACATCTGCAAGAAAAATGACTGGAATACTATTGTACAATGACAGTCCTTTTCAAAGCAGGATAAATTGCTGACCTGTAAAGCGTGCAGAGATCCATTACTGCTTGAATCCACTCAGTAAAGCATTTAAAATATTGGGACCGACTAAAATGCCTAGATCTGAATTCTCTTGAGCATAGGCGTGAGAGATACATAATAATTTACACGCGGGAAATATTTGAGGAGCTGGTCCCAAACCTACACACAGAAATAACATTACATGAGACCAGAAGGCATGGCAGGATATGCAAAATACCCCCGTTGAAAAGCAGAGGTCCAATAGTTACTCTAAGAGAGAACTGTATCAACATCAGAAGACCTAGACTATTCAATACGCTTCCACTAGACATAAGAGGCATAACTTGAAGAGCCTCTCACAGTGTTAAGAGAACTTGATAACTACTTCCAATGGATACCTGATCAACCAGGCTGTGATTAGTACGTCAGGCTGCGAGCAGCCACGTCTAACAGTCTGGCTGACCAGTCCAGCAATCAGGAGGCCTGGACGAGGACCAAGTTGCAACCCTTATACCATGGCGTTGTCTAGTCATCTAGAGCATGTGCGTGGGAACACCCTACACATAGGTTCGAACCTTCATCATGGCTCCCACGGATTTTCTCACTGATGCAGTCACGTTAGTGTGATTACTCTAAATAATAATAATAATAACAATAATAATAATATTATTATTATTATAAAGTATTATTATTATTATTATTAACATTAACAAATAAAACAAAAAAATACACTAATTCTGGGGTAAGACATTAGTGTAAGGAAAAAGTTTGGTAAAGTATAAACAACAATATCATAAAGTTGACTCCAGCAGCTAGCTAATCAGATAACACAAATGTATGATTAAATTTGAAGCAATAATAATTTAGTTACATATGGTAAAGTAACTAGATTATTTAGACAACTGTAAACACCATTTTAAATATAATACAGGTTGAGGGTAATAGAGGGATGGAGAGTGTTTAAGGGAGCAGCAGTTTCAGTCTTGGTGTCTCTTACTAATAGATTATTATTAGCTCCTCTGTATCACAGTACTTCTATTAATGGGGTTTTATTTTATTATTGATAAATTATTATGTTCTGCTGGAGGTTAACATGAAAATTAAAAACTTTTGTATACCAGTTTGTTTCAGACAACTTTTTTTTCGTGTATACAAAAAATATTTTGAGTGCAAATACTGTTTTATAATTAGTCCAGTTCTCCACCTTCCCTCCTAGAGATTTTAGACTACCAAATATCATAACCAAAATACACGATAAAAATCCATACTCTATAAGCAGAACTTAAATATTTGATACAGAAGGGATATTGTTGTAATTAATTAGTGTCTTCTGGGAGCACTGAGCCTTTATGGTTTGGCTACACTTACTTTCGATAATCGTTATTCAAAGTAACACATGAATATTATTGTCAAGTGAGATTTGCATCATGTAGTCAAAAATGTGTTATTTTGCATTGTGTTAATTGTCTCTCTTTTCTTCCATAGAATTTGTTGCTAAATATGTCATCCCATATGTTTGATGATGCACTAAACTGATGTGGAGTTTGTATCTTGATGCCAGGTGGCCGCAGTGTCATTACTCATAGATATCTTCCTCGCCGCATTTGACACTGCAGAAATGGTTCCAGTCAAAGCATCTCGTACTAGTTCACGTTTTTTCTTTCCACTAATGAAGATCAAGAAGATAATGAATCCTTGCAGTGAGTTTAGAACATCAGTCAGGAACCTGTTAAAACATAACTAATAGTATTAAATGTGAAAACAAACAATCGTGTAAATTGTAAATAAAGTAATAATTGTAATTTGAAAATCTTCTCTATGGATGGCCCTTCAGTAGCTCTCTACAGCTTTCTTCACTGACACCCATGCCCTCCCCCCTCCCGCACAATGTAAACTTTAGTGATAATCTCGACCCACCAGATGCAAAACCAATATCTTGTCCCACTTAAAAGTGCAGAGAAACCAGTATTGATCAACAGCTCCCAAACTCACAAAAATCTCCAAAATTATTAAATCATACAAAGAAAATATTGGAGAAACCAACTATGAAACTAGTAGCCCAAAGAAGTAAACAGCTCACTTTATTGTCTGACTATGAGTCACCTGCAGATACAGAATGTGATGAGCTCCAGGATAAATTCTTTTTGTTGTATGTCAGAGTCTTTTAGTGTCACATTACTCTGAAATATGTCATGGTCCTTCAGTATCATATTACTCTGATGTATGTCATAGTACTTCAGAGTCACATTACTCTGATGTATCTGTCATAGTCTTTCAGTGTCATATTACTCTATTGTATGTTAGGGGCCTTCAGCGTCACATTACTCTGATGTATCTGTAATGGTCCTTGAGTACCACATTACTCTAATGTATTTGTCATGGACCTTTACGGTCACATTACTCTGATGTATCTGTAGGGTCCTTTAGTGTCATTACTCTAATGTATCTGTAATGGTCCTTCAGTGTCACATAACTCTGAGATTTCTGATTTGGAACGTCAGTGTCACATTACTCTAAAGTATCTGTAATGATCCTTCAGCGTCACACTACTCTCATGTATTTGTTATGGTTTTTCAGTCACAGTACTCTGATGTACCTGTCAGGGTCTTTCAGAGTCACAGTACACTGATGTATCTGTCATTGTCCTTCGGTGTCACATTACTTTGATTTATGCCAGAGTTCTACAGTGTCAAATCACTCTGATGTATGTCAAGGGTCCATCAGTGTCCCATTACTCTGATATATGTCCGGGTTCTACAGTGTCGCATTACTCTTATGTACGTCAGGGTCCTTTAGTGTCACATTACTCTTATATATCTGTTATGGTCCTCCAATGTCACATTACTCAGATGAATCTCTCATGGTCCTTCAGTGTCGTATAACTCTGATGTATCAGTCGCATGATGTATCTGACATAGTCCTTCAGTATCTCATTACTCTGGAGAATCTATCATGTTCCTCCAGTGTTATATTATTTTGATATATCTCTCATGGTCCTTCAGTGTCATATATCACTGATGTATTTCTCAGAGTCCTTTAGTGTTACGTTACTCTAATGAACGTCATAGTCCTTCACATAGTCCTACTCTGGTGTATCTGTCATGGTCCTTCAATGTCACATTAATTCGAAGTATCTGTCATAGTCCTTCAGTGTCACATTATTCTTATGTATCTACCATGGTCTTTCAGTGTCACATTACACTGATATATCTGTCAGGGTCCTTCAGAGTCACATAAGTCTGGGATATGTCATGGACCTTCAGTATCACATTACTCTGGTGAACATTTCATAGCGCTTCAGTGTCAATTTACTCTCCAGGGTAAAATATATCCAATATATCTGTCAGGGTCCTTCAGTGTCACAATACTTTTATATATCTGTCATGGTCCTTCAGTGTCACATTACTCTAATATATCTGGAAGGGTCCTTCAATGTCTCATTACGTTGATGTATCCGTCATGCTCCTTCAGTGTCACAGTACTCTGATGTATCTGTCATTGTTCTTCAGAGTAACATGAATGAGAAAATCCACTGAAGCTCTAGGCTGACTCGAACCAGCGACCAATTTGCACCCAGCCACTCATGTTACCTCTGTACCACCACAAATTGCTCATGTTATACAACTTGTGAGTCTACTGAATAGATTAAACTTTGTTGCCTATTCCTGAGTGCGTGGAGGTTATACGTAAAAATTGGACTGACCTCACTAGGATCCTCCAGGCTTCCAGTCGATTCAATAGACTGCCAGGTTATATAACAAACCAAGACGTGGTCGTACAGAGGTAACTTGAGCGGTTGGGTACTCCATGGTCGCTGGTTCGAGTCATCTCAGACCTCTGGTTGATTTTCTCGTCAATATTTTTATTAGTAAACATTCTGACTGATACTATGCTAGAACATCACATTAAATTATTATAACGGAAATTATTCATATTAATAAAAAGTCATATTCACGAATTCATGTTAGAGAAAACAAGAGAACAAGAGTTCACACACATGAATTACTTAAACGAAAATCAGCAAAAACAAATAAATATTATTATTATTCAAACAGATTAGCTGGCATGAAATAAAATACAATTAGCCAAGTTTGGCAACACTGTCATAAGCTTCGTCATATAACTACACTCGGTTAATTACACCTAGGCAATTTCATACCAATTGTTACAAAACAAAAGTTACTTGACAGCATTTTTTCAATGTTGTCGCACGGGCCTCATGAATTTAAGGCAACAAACTGAATTTAAAAAATGCTATAGCACTATCTACACCATACTGGAAGTAAATATATTTTTAACATCTTATAGTAAACATTACTATGTATTAACTGGTGTCTGCTTTAAAATCTGCCACTTTTACAAAAGTCCAAAAAAATCTGAATTGAGAAATTGAAGAAAAACATGTATGAATAGATATCCAGCCTCACCATAGCTCAGGGGGAGGAATTTTCCATGAAAGAATCTCTGTGGTCCAACATAGAGCCATCAAAAGGAACAGAGTGAAGCGCTGCCAGAATCTGGAAAAATATAAATATTGAATCTCTTCTGTGATTGCACATACTGGCAGATATTCTCTACGAATATATAGCGATTTAATGATATCTTGGCAATTTTAAACACTTATTTTAGAGAGTAAATTTCATTAACAAATTATCCATCAGAATGTGATGCCTTGAACCCACCTGCTAAACCAACGCGTTAAAATTCCGATTATGCTAAAAAATAATGACGTCGTGGAGAGAAGGCACTGATGAAACAGTTTCAGGATTTGCGATAATAAATAAAAATAAATTTGGGGCGTTTAATATTGCAGTAATAAGTATAAACCAGAGAATAATGCAATAAACTGGATAAACAATGAAATTGAGGTAGAGATTTAGAAAGATACAGAAGCTTTAGAGACAAAAAAATGAAAAAACAATATTATTAAGAAATAATTCAAATGAAAAGGAAAATAAAAAAAATTAAAACATTGAGCAAATACTAGAGAAATTTATATGCAAGGTTCACAATCTGAATATTTCTTGGTAGATAGGTTAGTTTAACAGACTTCGAGAATATAGGATACAGAATTGAGAATTGAATTTGGATAAATTAAGGTGAGAAGCTTGCCTCAGAACACACATTCGGTGCTAATAGATGAGGAAGGGCCACGTGATGACGACAGAAGGAGATGAAGAGTACAAGGTTCTCTGTATGGTAACTCATAACCCACTATATATCTCAACCGACAAGCAGGTGCGAAATTAATGTGATTAATTTACTCTGTCTACCATTCAAAAAAGACATAACAACAAGAGCAAAAGGTGTAATAATTTTCACAAAAGCAGAACTGAATGCAATCAATTCGAGGAGTTAAATAATGAGGGAATATTTGATGTATATTATGTAGAAGAGACAGCAGCTGCATCTGAAGGCGATGAGTCACAATAACGTGGCTAAAATATATTGACCAGACCACACACTAGAAGGTGAAGGGACGACGACGTTTCGGTCCGTCCTGGACCATTCACAATCGACTTGAGAATGGTCCAGGACGCACTGAAACGTCGTCGTCCCTTCACCTTCTAGTGTGTGGTCTGGTCAGCAGACGCATCACAAGTTCTTATAATAGGAGGATTATAACCTTGAGCCAATAGAGAGGATGAATCTAATATAACAAAAACAGAAGTCTCCGTGGTGTAGTGGTAAGACACTCGCCTGGCGTTCTGCGAGCGCTATGTCATGGGTTCGTATCCTGGCCGGGGAGGATTTACTGGGCGCAATTCCTTAACTGTAGCCTCTGTTTAACGCAACAGTAAAATGTGTACTTAGAGGAAAAAGCGATTCTTCGCGGCAGGGGATCGTATTCTAGGGACCTGCCCGAAATGCTACGCGTACTAGTGGCTGTACAAGAATGTAACAACTCTTGTATATATATCTCAAAAAAAAAGAAGGGGAACCAATTGTTTACCGCATTTAGAACCCTTACTCAAGTCAACACCAGCAATCAACAGCCAATTAATATATATATATATATATATATATATATATATATATATATATATATTATTAAATATGACCGAAAAAGTAAGATTAATAATTCTAACACGAATTTTCTCTATGTTTCTTATATTTCTTTTCACTGTTGATGGTAACTGAAAAATCAATTCTCCAAAATTCATTTTTATTTCTAGTCTGACGCGACACTTGAACGCGTTTCGTAAAACTTATTACATTTTCAAAGAATTTAGTTTACACACACACAACTATAACTGAACAGAGTTCAAACAGCTACGATTTTATACCTGCATTTGGGTGAGGTGATATGTTACAACAGTTAACTGTTTTGAGGTGATATGTTACAACAGTTAACTGTTGTAACATATCACACACATACACACACACATATGTGTGTGTGTATGTGTGTGTGTGTGTGTGTGTGTGTGTACCTAATAGCCAGAACGCAGTTCTTCGCCTACTATACATGGCCCGATTTGCCTAATAAGCCAAGTTTTCCAGAATTTCAATATTTTTCTCATTTTTTCTTATGAAATGATAAAGCTATTCATTTCATTATGTATGAGCAAATTTTTAAAAATTTAAGTTAAAACTAACGTAGATATTTGACCGAACCTAACCTAAACTCTCTTAACCTCACCTAAACTAACACAACTAAGTCAATAAATTATGGTGTAAATAGCCGAAAAAATTATAATATAATAATTCAAATAAATTAATTGGAAACAAATTATTGAAAATAAAGATAATCACTCGGCCTATTAAGCAAATCGGACCTTGCATAGTAGGCCGAGAAGTGCGTTCTGGCTACTAGGTACGACATACAAACTTTTAAAAAAAATATATATATATATATATATATATATATATATATATATATATATATATATATATATATATATATATATATATATATATATATATATATATATATATGTGTGTGTGTGTGTGTGTGTGTGTGTTTGTGTGTGTGTTTGTGTGTGTGTGTGTGTGTGTGTGTGTGTGTGTGTGTGTGTGTGTGTGTGTGTGTGTGTGTGTGTGTGTGTGTGTGTGTGTGTGTGTGTGTGTGTGTGTGTGTGTGTGTGTGTGTGTGTGTGTGTGTGTGTGTGTGTGTGTATCACGAAAATAAACACGTGATTAAAAATGTGAAAGTGTCAGACCACGGAGGAAAATTGAAACAGGAATTTCCTTAAGTACTTTCGTATAATAATACATCTTCAGAAGGAGTGGTTTTACAGGTCGAGTACTGGACATAAATAGGCAGGAAAGATTGGTGGAGTGAGGTGAGGTACAATAAGTGGACACTGCAGAGGGCCTATTGGCCCATCCGATGTAGCTTCCATTCATAACCACACATGGATAATCATAGCATAAAATAGTAAATATTTACAATGAATTAGTGAGACAAATGTGTTCCAATGATCCTACTTAAATCGCCCTTTAATTGATCTATTAAAATGGATCTAAGTTATATAAACCACTGCTAATGTTCAAATTACTTTCTTTTGTGATCTGTATCAAAGCAGATTCAATTATGTTTCTGGTATAGGTGCTTTTACAATGCGTTATTGAAGAAGCCATCTCCAAATCAATTTGGTGACCATCTTCTGGCAGATGAACAAACAAAGCATTAGACAAATGGTCAAGTCTTACAGAGTATTTATGTTGCGAAATTCTACATTTCAAATCTTTAGATGTTCTATGTTGGGCAAACCATATTATTGGTTTGAACCATATTCACCATACTATTTGGGCGACCACCATATGTCTTTTGCGACCTCCATATGAAGTGGTCGACTAGCACATGTCTTGTTCGACCGCCATATGTCTTGTGCGACCTCCAAATGTCTTGTACGACCACCAAATGTCTTGTGCGACCACCATATGTCTTATGCAACCACCATATGTATTATGCAACCACCGTATATCTTATGCAACCACAATATGACTTGTGTGACCACCATATGTCTTGTGCGACCACCATATGTCTTGTGCGACCACATATGTCTTGGGCGCCGACCATATGTCTTGTGCGACCACTATGTCTTGTGCGGCCACCATATGTCTTATGCAACAACGATATTTCTTATGCAACCACCATATGTCTTGCGCGACCACCATATGTCTTGTGCAACCAACATATGTCTTGGGTGACCACCATATTTCTTATACAACCACCACATCTCTTGTGCGACCACCATATGTCTTGTGCAACCACATATGTCTTGGGCGACCACAATATGTCTTTTGCGACCTCCAAATGTCTTGTACGACCACCAAATGTCTTGTGCGACCACAATATATCTTTTGCGACCACCATATGCCATGTGCAACCACCATATGTCACCTACAACCACTATATGTCGTGTGCTCCCACCATATGTCTTGTGCGACCACCATATGTCTTGGGTGAGAGCCATATGTCTTGTGCTACCATCAATTGTCTTATGCAACCACCATATGTCTTATGCAACCACCATATGTCTTTTACGACCTCCATGTGTAGTGGGCAACTAGGATATGTCTTTTTAGACTGCCATATGTCTTAAGCGACCACCAAATGTCTTGTGCGACCACCATATGTCTTGTGCGACCACCATGTCTTGTGCATGTCTTTAGCAACCACCATATATCTTATGCAATAACATATGTCTTGTGTGACCACCATATGTCTAGCGCGACCACCATGTGTCTTGTGCGACCACAATATGTCTTATTCAACCACCATATATCTTATGCAACAACTAAATGTCTTGTGCGACCACCATATGTCTTTTGCGACAACCATATGTCTAGGGCGCCCATTATATGTCTTATGCAACCACCATATGTCATGTGCGTCCACAATGAATTGTGCAGCAACCATATGTCTTGTGCGACCACCATATGACTTGTGAGACCATCATATGCCTTGTGTGACATCCATATGTCTTGTGCGACCACCATATGACTTGTGAGACCATCATATGCCTTGTGTGACTTCCATATGTCTTGGGCGACCACCAAATCTCTTGTGCGACCACCATATATCTTATGCAACAATTATATGTCTAATACGATCTCCAATTGTCTTATGCAACCACCATATGTCTTATGCAACCACCATATGTGTTATGCGACCTCCATATGTAGTGGGCGACTAGCATATGTCTTGTGCTAACGCCATATGTCTTGTGCGACCACTAAATGTCTTGTGCGACCACCATATGTCGTGTGCGACCACTATATGCCTTCTGCGACAACCATATGTCTTACACGACCACTATATGTCTTGTGTGACCACAATATGTCGTACACAAATACCATATGTCTACTGCGACCAACATATGTCTTGTGCGACAACTATATGTCTTACACGATCAACAAATATCTTGTGCGACCGCCATATGTCTTGGACGACCACAATATATCTTGGAAAATCACCATATGTCTTCTGCGAACACCATATGTCATGTGGGACCACCATATGTCTTGTGCGACAACCATATGTCTTATGCAACCACCATAGGAATTTTCC